TTAGAAACAAACATGTTTGTAAGCCCGACTGATGCCGCTGCTGATCGGCTTTCGATGCGCTTGTACACTTGTTTCTCGTCTGTTATAATTGTTCGCAAGTGTATTCGGTACCATTCCTTTTGTGCTGAGCCCGGTGGTATCTCCCTAACCTAAGCAGTTTGCGAGTGCAGTTCCTTGTTGCCTTCGGTAACATGGAGCCCTTCGGTCTTGAATGGAAAATGGAAGTGATTGCATGCATGATCTTGTCAAGTATAAATATCCAATGGGTGTCCATACGCCACCACCCATGGTTAATCTTCCAATCTGTCTGTTTCAGTGCAATTAGAAGAGCCAGAGTGTTGATTCTTCTGAAATGCCAACGACGTTCATTGAAGAGTCTGGTTAGATTGGTTTCGCTAACAAACTGGAGGCCGATAACGATGTGATCACTCCTGCCCAAGGGAGGAGGAGTTGCTAAGTTGTCAATCAAGAATTCTTCATTTGTGAAGATGCAGTCGAAGCGAGATAGTGTTCGAGGCTCCCTCGCTGGCGTTGCCGTTCTCAAACTTTCCATAAGCCCCAGCTGCCTAGCCAGGTGAAAGAATAGGGCTTCATTGGGATTGTCACTCCCACTAAATGTGCGATCTGCAAAGTTAACCTGTTGGACCCAGGGGCCTATGGCTAACGCTATGAAGGATTTGCTTTAGACAACCGCAACGTAGCAAATAAAAAGGCAGAAGTAGACGTATATCGCGTTTATTCCAAGCACTTCAGTGGGCAAGTTCAGCGGGCAAATCAAACCAGTACATTAAAAGTTATTCACCATTCAATTGCAGTCAATAGTGAATATAAAGTTTACAACAGATGGAAATCAGAACCAGTTTACTGGGCTCTGCAAACCTTCGGTAGGTGGAAATTGCCCAAAATTATTAAACGTTACTGCCACAGTTTAAGAAAGCAAATGATTGCTTCTAGCATCGTACTGTAAGTTGGCAGATGGCTCCTTGTAAATGACTCCCACCGAGCACTTCATAGTCTTGGACGTATTTATGGTGCACCAAATGGACTACTCGAGGCATTTCAATTCTTGAATACGGATGTAGTGGGTTGAGAGAGAAGAACTGACGCGAAGCGCCACCCCACCCCCTTACCGGCCTCCCGTCACTACGAAATAGCATCGTATTAGCAGTTGCCAGCTCCTGATTCGACATGTTAGGAGAAATCCATGTCTCAGTAACACCAATAAGGTGAATACGAGTGTTATTACCTGGTCCCTGTATTTCATCTAGTTTGTTTGGTAAACGTTTTGCATTTGTATGGATGCGCTCTTTGAATACTGACGTGTTTTGTCTCGTTTGTATCCTACCCGGAAGTAACTATATATAGGCCTCCCCAATTGGATAGTTCCCCTACGAAAGTTACGGTTTCACTGGAAAAACATTTTGCTACAGAACGTACAGCTCAGTCAGTCAATACTATCACTCTCCAAACGGACAACTGTATGGTAGGTCTAACTGCCCCGATCAACCGCTATAGCTCGGGTTGCTGCAACTGCAGCGCTACTTATCTCATTCGATCATATACCTTGGACCTGTGGGAAGCTTTGGGCATTCTTCCGCGTCGTGCAGTTGGGCAATCCTAGGTAAGGTTAACAACTTACTTTATCTATCATTGCTCTTCTACGTTTCGTTTGATACAACCATCTGTCTATCTCTTTTATGTCCCCCCTAATCGCCAGTGGAAATGAGTAATAATCGAGTCCTAACCACATCTGGTATCAGGAACATCTCAGGCAAAGCCTCACCCCAGCCACAAACCTTCCCATCAGTGGTAGTAACGGGGGCCGGAGGCAAAAAGCTTAGCGCCGCCGCAAAAGATCACGGGTCGACCTTAGGCGGACGGTTGCAACGACCACTTCCTGGGAAAGTCGGGTTCCTGTCCCCGTAAACCCCCGTGCAGTGGTTCATCAACGAGCATGTCCTTCTGGTACCACCAGCCCAAACCCTAGTCTACCTGTGAAAGCTACCACTGAGAGGCGGAAAATAAGGAAAAGAAAGTCGTTAACTAAACCTTCTAGTCAGGCTGACGACTGTCATACATGTGGTCTCACTGTAGCCGAGAGGGATTCTGCCTTTGAGTGTAACATCTGCAATAAGTGGGTGCACAGTCAGTGTGATGACATACCAGACCAATATTACACTTTCACGGCGCGCTACCCATACACGTGGTTCTGGTACATCTGCCCACAGTGCCGTATAAGGCCGCTCTTTTCTAAAGGCTCGCTGATGGAGGCTGTAAAAGACATCGCAGTGACTACTGTGATGCCGACACCCACATAGACCACTGCCCCAGGCTCAAGAAGCAAGAGTGTCAGCAGTGAACCCCGGCCAGTCACACCGGTGAATAGTCCAAAAAGACCAAAACGACAACCGGTTACGCGACCAACTACATTAGTCCCTAACCCTGAAGCCACTTTAACGGCTAATACCACTGTACAACGGGATAAATGGGTGACAGTGGAAAAGAAGGTGCACCCTACCCACAAAAAGCCACCCGCAGTACACGAAAATAGAGAAGCTGATGACAGGTCGAATTCCATCATCTTATTTAGCGTCCCTGTGTGCCATGATAGTCTCCTCGAGAACAGAGAATAGTTTGACAAGCAGTAATGGGAAACCGTATGAACCACACCAGGACTGGGTAGCCCAGAAGCAAAACTGTGCAGGCTCAACAAGGGCAACTACCCACCTCAGGGAAAGTCCCCACTGATGAGAGTTACCCTAAGCTCGGCTAAAGAAGCGGAAAGATTCTTGCTGATGTCACACACATTAGTCATCAACGGGTCATCCAGCATTAGAGCCAGACCAGACCACCCTTGGTCAGCAAGAAAGGTATCTCGCGAGGCGCCCCAAACGCTGAAACCAACAACTATGGTTGTCCACGGCATACCGGAACTGACAACCGGCACAGTCGTAGAAGAGTATGCTCACGACATCCAGCAATGGCAGTGGTTGTCATCCAGGATGGGGTTAAATAGGATAGAAGCGGCGGCTGTCTGCAGACTGCCACGTCCCTCACATTTGACGACGACAACAGGCCTTCGACACAGTTCCACACACCGTTCTTATTCACAAGACAGAAAGGTTGGGCACCAAGGGACAAGTGCTTTCATGGTTGCAGGACCATCTAGACGGTAGACAGTTCTGCACGAAAGCCAACACAGTTTGCTCAACTTGAAGGACATCATCTGGTGTGTCACAAGGGGCGATTCTTGGTCCGCTGCTGTTTCTTCTTTTTGTGAACGACCTCTTGCTGAATCTCAGCTCCCCAGCTCCACTCCACGCTGATGATGTTAGGCTATGGAGAGCTGTGACGTCAGAAACAGAATCAAGTGCACTGCAAAGTGATCTCAGATTACTTGCAGAGTGGGTGGATATTAATGGACTTGCATTTAACCTAGATAAGTGCCGAGCCATACTTCTCCGCACCCCAGACTCTCGGAAAATACCCTATTCTCTCTGTGGAACACGACTCTGGCACACCACCACAGAGAAAGACCTGGGACTAACACTGACTGACAGACTAGACACTATCCCCAGTTATCCGTGAGATGCCTCCAGAGCGTACGCAGTACTGCACTTCATGCGCCGACAGTTGGGTGCCCTGACCCCGTAACTCTTTTTGAAGCTGCATAAGACCTATATAAGGCCCCACCTAGAGGTACACAACGTCATTGCACAACCATACCTGAAGAGAGATGTGAACCTCCTGGAGAAAGCCCAAAGGCGAGCTACAAAGGGTGTCGTGGGAACGAGGCGAAAACCATGTCAGGACAGGCTGAAGGATCGAGAGCTCTACTCCCTAAGCTACCGTAGATCACGCGGTGACTTGATAATGGCTTACAAAATACTCAGTAACCCAAGTCATCCAAACAGTGGAATCCCGCCGAACGGCCACTATGGCGACCCTCGTGGTAACCAGAGGAGAATCACCCACCAAACAGCGAAAACCGGTGTGCGATCATACTTCTCTCTGTAAGTTTGCGGCCACTGGAACGCATTGCCTGCCGAGATTGCTACTGTTCCGTCTACTGACAGCTTCAAGAAGAGGTTGGACGGTTACGCAGCGACACACGGTTTGCGCTCATCGAACTGGGATGTGGACTAGGCCAACATGACTTACTAACTCGGTACGACCAACCTTTACTGAACGCTTCGTAAAACCACTGTCACTGAGAACTTGGCTCAACCTTATGCTTTCCTGTAGACTTCACCCCCAGTTATCGTTTCCTACTAAAAGAATTACTATATTCCCATTCGTCCTATCATGTTGTTTATTATTCCTTCTTCTGACTTTACGCTCTCAAACTTTAACAAAAGCTGTCCCTACCACCTATTCCCCATGAACCGCCCAATATTTTATTCTTCCGTGCCGTTTCCTTTTTCCTAATCTTTTTTAGTATATATTCCTCCTCCTTTTTTCCCTTTCTTTTTCTATTTTGTCTCTCTGCACATATTTTTCATCTCCTTTCTACGACCAGTCCGACCAATTGCCTGCTGGCACGACACTTGAGGAACCCATCTGCACCAGTCCTGGGAAGAAAAAGCAAACAAACAAACACTCCCTACAAATCTAGACAACACCCAACCGCCCGTCGGGCTAACCAGAGCTACAGCAGTCGAGTGGGTAGACCTACTGCATTGGAATCCACCAAAGACCTGGAACCGTTCCGCAAGACCTGGAAGCTAGCGTGAAGAAATCAATTGGTTTACACTAGCTAGTTAAAAGATATTGGATATTGGATGCAATTAATGCTACCTTCATGGAATGCACTGCCTTAACCCTCTTTATCCTCCAGCCAGCTGGCTGGGTAACTTTTAAATCTATAAGCGGACTATAGGATATTGGATCGGGCTGTTTGTCGGATGATGTATCTCAGCAATATTTTTGGACACTGAGAATTGAGATGTTTGAATGCTTCATATGGAGTTTTGTTCGGTGGAATGACCTTACGTTAAAAGCGGAGCCCAATGCAAAACATGGCAACAACATGGAGTTTGGAGGTAGTTTAGAGGAGTTCATTAGACAGGAGGTTACAGTTATCACTGGGGAGAAATTCTCTCATGCATGCAGTTTAAAGGGCAATTTGTGAGATCCGTTCTTTTTATAATCATGTATTCTATTTCTCAAGGAATGGTCCTGAGGTCAAGGATCTTCCCACTCTTCTTGATATGTTAGGTGAAGGCTCCGCAAAAGTAAAGCCCAATTTAAACATTATTGAAAGGCCCAAAGGTTACCAGGACCTGTAACAACTCACAGCAAATTCAAAAACACAAATCACAAGATATTTTTGTTGTCAAATATACCTTCTAAAAGGTGAGTGCGGTTGGTGATACATTTTTCTGAAGAGTTTTAGGTTTCCTCAAAATTGGAAGGAAACGGCTCTTTGTACATGACAGAAAAGGGGTTTGTGTTGAATGTGTCCCCTTGTGTGTTTTGGATTTTTATGTACATGAATCACATCAACGACAAGGATGTGGGAGAAAGCTATTCGATTTTATGCTTCAGGTTGGTATTCCAGTTCGAATTTCATTTCATTATTTCACGGTAAACTTTATTAAACATGTTTTAACTTACTGAATTACGGCATAATATATTATGCTGTTATAACAGGATTTGTAAACCATATTCATATTTATGATTTGAAGATAGCCATACGCGTATGTTAATTCTTACCAAGTAGATTTCTGTACTTCCCCATAACTATTTTGAACTAGTCAGTTGATAACGTGCGCATTATCATTCTGGGTTTGGGTTCCAAGATTTGATTACTCAACGCAAAAACCAGTTCTTTACGGAGATTCTGTTTGGCCTTGTTTTTCGTACTCTTCTGATATGTCCCCTTGATTATGCAACCTATTGAGAAAGAAAGTGAAAGATAGATCCAGTTAAAAGTCATTTTTTTATATTTTTTTGCAGCACAATTAGGTTTTTCCACTGTATGTGATATGACCAAGCGAAGAGGCTCAGCTTCTGTAGTCATTCTTTACAGGTCAACCGTCTCAATGATCATACGAGTAGCCGTCTTCTGAATTCTTTACAAGACCGTGGGTCAATTTAAGAACGATAATCCTCTACTTGTGCACAGTTTTAAGTTTTCGCCTAACCGAGGTGGTTAACTTATCAATAATTCCCATCGGTAAAGTTCTACTCAATACCTAGTGTTATGAAACATCCAGCTGCGATCATTCCAAAGTGATATGGTTTTCAAATGATAAGTCATTGTGGACCAATAATGAGTAAAGAGGAATCCCGTCAATATCGTAGATAATAGTCTGCATACCCTACGTGCATGCTTATACACTTACCTCATTTGATAGGCATGAACCATTTTTCTAACCAGGTGAAAAACTGTTTAGGTCTGTCTAAAGTGAACATACATCGTTTTCATCCCTTATTTCTCGCCAGATCTGTACATCCTGAATGGAGAACTATGAGGATTTAGTGGTCCTCAGCAATCAATTTACGTACAGGTAAAGTAGCAAAGGACTTGCTGCTGCCTTGCGGTACTTCTTTTCTAAACGGACTGTTAAGAAAAGCATTGGAAAATTGATCCTTGTCCGTTGTGTCTTACCAACAAGGAACTGTGTCATCTAAGAGGGTAGCTTACTGGCATTTCAGAAACTTTGCAGTTGCATGAGGAACCTGGAGCAAGACATCTTATCTGATGCCTTACTGAAATCTAAAAATGAGATCTACTAGCTCTTTATCATCTTCAGAACAAACACGACTTTTTTTGACTAAGAAGGTTTGTTAAGGATGAGAAACCTCTGCGAAAGTTATGTTGCGAACGGAACGGTGGAGTTTTGTTTTCTAGTTGAACCGTAATGGCTTTCTTGATTATGCTTTCTAGGATTTTAACTACAGCACTAGTTAAGCTTAACAGTCACTAGTTTGACAGGTATTGCCAAGACCATGGCTTGTAGATGTGAATGTGGCGTCTTTGCACTCATGTATCAGTATGCCTTGACTTAGGGTTAGTCTAAAGATAGTGATTAGTCGGCCGGCTATATGGAGTGCAAGCCAGATGATCAGCCTTTGGTGTAGCTCATCCACTCCTGTCGTTTTTTCCAAATCCATAGTATTTACAGCCTTAAATGTGTCATTTCGATGTTAACAATTTCTGTTGGATGTCAGGGCTTCTGCTGCTGACGCCACATCCATCAGAGGTTTTATTGTGAAGATATTAGCAAAATATCCAGCTATAATCTTTATTTTATCTTTATCATCTATTACTGCCTAGTTTCTTCGATTAAAGTACATTTTGCTCTGACAGTTCAGGTGTTTTACTGCAGTTTGAGTGAGACGCCTTTCGAGGTATATTTGGGACCAGCAAATCACGGCATTAAATTTATTCCATGCTTCTTTACATTGTTTCTTCGTCTAGTGACGAGACTTCAATAATTCCTCTTCCATCATTGTAGGCTTAATATTCCGCAAATTATCTACGAGGGTCAGTGTTTCTACCCTTCGGGACAGTCTTTGGAATGATTAGTTGAGTCGCTTATTACTGTTCGAAAAGTACCATATAGCCTCAACTTGGGCTTCTAGATAGATTTTCTAGTTTTCAGAGGAGGTTATCAAGTTAGTAGATGCCATGTCACGGTCCATACTTTAAGCCCAGCTGAAGTGTCGACCTGGCACAACACAGTTGCTGTGAATATGGAAATGACCACAGCATAGTCAGTTTTCCCGAGAGGTAAAATGTGCCAGATGGAGCTTACTTCACCTATTTTGGAGGATACTGGGTGTAGAACTGACGGGGTGTAATTATAGTAGTATCGGGTTGCTTCCCTGATGTGTTTCGTAAGAATCAAGGAAATTGATGTTTTCGTTAACCCATGATGAAACGAATTACATGATGCTTCTGTTGTTAGGGTATATAGGCTGATTGGTTGTGCATTGAAGTTTCGTATAACTGGGCATCTTAATTCAACTGTCTAAAGAGTCAGCTTATTCAGAAGGAAGTTTCCTGATCCATATTACGAGCTACGTTAGCATCTTGCCCTTGCGTTTCACTCATCAATGTAGCATTTCACGTGTCCCACTTCCATGTGTGGCCGTTTCTATATCTCTTGCAGTTAAGGTGTTTTCCAAGTAAAAATTAGATCGCCGTTAATGCTTGCCAATTTATCCCTTCGAAAAATGATTTACTGTCATTGGCTTCTGAATGGGGCTACATTTCTTAGATAACCAAGTATGCCAGGGCTTTCTATGCTTATTACACTACTTAGGTCAGTTCACCTTTTCAGAAGACTACATGCATTTGTTTGCAAACCGATGAAACGACTAAAGTGAGTTTGCATCCCATTCATGGAGGCTTTGGAATCATTTGTTTCTCAAACCCTCAGGTTGCTATTTGAGATTTTCTTCTTTTTCTCTGCCTCCTACTTTTTGATTCTATCAGTAATAGACGAACGTTTACTCACCAACAATTTAGCTCCTTGAAGTTCATGAGCATTCCATAAAGTAAGATCTCGCTTTTGTTGAACTGAACATAATTTTAAGTAGTCATGGTCTGTTTTCAGCAGGAACTAAGTCTTTTTTTCTGTATTCTATACATCTTGAGGAACGTGACTCTTTTTGTGTTTTCTGGTATTTGCTTGTCAACCAAACTTTGAACTTTGCAAGGGCCATTTCTAAAACGATCACGCACTGATTAGTCGCTATTTCATTCAACTCTGTGAGAGATTACAAACTTTTCACAGAGTTGTGCTTTATCTTCTCTCTGTTAGGTGATGACAGCTAGCTGTCGTACTATAACTAGTCTACTAGTGTACTATTTGTTTTTGAGCACTTGTCATTTCGCAAAGTTATTGCCTGTGGAAGGTTGATAAAGGTTTGGTTCAGAAACGTTTACGTTGATAGCCTCAGCCCCTTTTGTGCATGCGTCTCCACTAGTTGGTTTGCTTAAACGGGTGTGTTTTGCAGCTTATGTATTTTCTTAGCTGACACTAGAACTGCTCCACCTACATCTCTTTCACTGGAGGCTGAACTAATTTTACGACTGGTGGCTTTCAGGCTAGGTGTACTACTTCTAGGGATTCCAGAAGCCAAAAAATACTCGCTTCGCCTTGCTTTGTGTAGCCCTTTCAAAATCGTAGTTATCATACTTTGTAGGTAGTTTTTTAACCTTCAGTCTGTTGAAGGGCTTTCCTGAGGTTCTGTACAGTAACCTGTGTGCTAACAGACACAGTGCTGTCACAAGCATCATGATCGTTAACCTTTCCTTTGGATGTCATCTACATGGTCGTGTTCAGTTATAATTTGTCTTCCACCAATTTGGAAATATGTGAGCCGGACAATAAGCAAATCTAGATACCCCCTGAATTACTATACTTTCTGTTGTTATACGTTTAAGGTTCATACAGTTGTCATGGTACCCATTTTACGTTCATTAAATTGCATACCAGAAGCCATTGCAAAGCAGCACCCCACCATATTACAAATGTAACTATGACATCTTGGATTGGCCTACTCGTAGAAGTTTAAGTTGATATCAGAACACCCAAGTTTCAAAAGGTCCTTTGAAAGATATAATCCTGATTAGAAGAACTAAACGAAATATTTTGATGTGTTAAGGCAAAAAATGCCAAACGTTTAAACGGATGTGGAAATTATATATTTTTTAAGGTCTTTAGCATTGAATTACTCTAAACTTGGTTACTCTGACACAGTTAGCTATCCCATTGAGATGGTTTAAAGTTTTGGGTTATGAAGATTCAGAGATTCAACAAATTAACGTGGAATCTTTTTCTGATTGACGATTATAAAGTCCTGTCTCAATCGGAAATAAGTTCAATAAAATTCGGTACCAGTTAAAGGAAGTAGGAAATAAAATCATACCTTGAAAGATATCTTACAATCAACAGTGAGAAGAAATGTAACAAGAATTAATATGCAGTGAAAATGTGAACAAGAGGTTAGACCACTAACTCAGTTATTTATCGGTATCTGTGAAAAGATAAAACAATTGGTGTAACATCAGTTGAAAAAAGTTGATTGACTGTCTACTAACTTTCTAGTTATCCTTGACTAACCATTTACATCTTCATGCGAACCCAGACGCAGGCACTTACCAGAGCGAAAACACCTTTTGTCGTCATGTTTTTGTTTTAACTGTTTGTATCCCTGAAACGAGCTGTAGAAGTCGTATCTGGCTTGAGTGACTTGTTGGTTGATTTTTTACTAGTCATCGCACTATCGAACCAGTCCACTTCTAGTCTTTATTATGAATTGTACATTTCCAAACATGAGAAGTAACCTTTCAAATGACAGTTTGGGATTCATTATGAAGTCAGTAAGGTTTTCTACACATATTGCAATGACTGAGGTTAAAGAAATAATAATCAGTGTGGTTTCTCAATGGTGTTTCCACTTTATACCAAATTCTTATATTATTTATCCCTTTGGTTCCTTATGGAACATTGGGCTTCACTAGCACGTCTCCATTTCACTCTTTTCTCTGCAGTCTTTTGAACCCCGCTGTACGACTGCCCTAAAGCTTTCAATTCTTCCTCACATGATCTCCTCCATGTCACCCTTGCCTCAGATACCCAACTCGTCGTTTCACCATTGGGCTCCACTCGACGGCCTGACCTGATGCGTGATGTCCCCGTATGGTCTTCTCAATGTTAGCCCAGTCCATCTCCACTTTCTTCTGCATATTTGTTGAGCGGTGCGTTCTTCATTGGTTTGTTTCCAGGCCACAGTTCCTTGTTGCTTATTCTTTCTCGCCTCCTCATCTGATCTGCAGTATGGAGTGAGCGTAGGTGTCAGCTGTTAATGAATGTCTGTAGTTTGTTGGAAATGCCTCTCGTAAAGCGCCAAGTCTTTCAACCATCACATAAAAGCACTAACTTGACTGACTTAGTGTTGAAGATACGGATCTTTTTCTTTATGCTGAGTACAGTGCAGGAGATTTCTACACTGATTTCAGATTAATGAAGGCCTGTCTTGCTGTTTTTCTGATCCTGGTTTTGATGTCCTCATGTGTGCCGCCACCGACGCCCGTAGGTGAAACGATGCTGCCTAGTTTGTTAAGTAAAAGAGACTACTTCCTTTAGATTTCTGTCTTTGATGGTGCTTGTTGTTGTTGTTGTTGTTGTTGTTGGTTGGATATCTTGACCATCTCTGTCTTCTCTACGTCGACTTGAAGTCCCGTTTTCGCTGCCTCTTCTGTCAACTTGTTTGCTTTTGTCTGTACATCTTCGAGTTTGTGCGACAAGACGTTGGACACAAATCATGATCGGCGAAATCCAAATCTTCTAGCCTCTTTTCATCGGTCCAGCCAGCGTATGCTCATCTTGTTGCTCGTCACAGTTTGTTGCATGATGTAGTCCAGTCGATCACAATGAGTAAGATCATCGGTGATAATAGGTAGCTTTGTCTTACCCGTGTCTTCACTTCAAAGGTACCATTGAGCTTTGCATTGTGAATCACTCGGCATATGGCGTCGTCATGTAGCTGTTGAATGATGTTAATAAGGGTTTGTGTCACTGAAACTGTAGTGTTGAAGCAGTTTTCAAATTAGTTCTTGTTCGACGCTGTCGAAGGCCTTTTCAAAGTGGATGAAGTTGAGGTAGAGAGTTGACTGCCACTCTACTCTCTGTTCTATGATGACGCGTAGCGTAACACATTCCTCCTCAAATAATCTATTCATTTCTCTGACTACAACCTTTCTTCGATTTTTCAAAAAGCAGCACAGTGATTTGGTTGGACTGGCTGCTCTATGGTGTTTTAGATTAGGGATTTCCATCTGAACCTTCTCCTCGTTATATGAGTCAGTGTGGATTGGTTATTATGTACGAGAAACTTAGGTTAAATCCAGGGGTACAGCAAGCTGGCTGGATTGCTGTTGAAAGTGTTTTGTCCAACCGTCTAAAAGTTTTTGAAATTCGTTAATTAGAAAGCCATCTACCTCACCGACCAACTGAGATACTAGGCTTCTTGCTGCCTGCAGCTAAGATGATGTGAAACAAAATTTGAATATTGCCATGTGCAGCTGCTACTTTCATCTCACAGTCGGGTTCTAATCAATCTTTCAATCAATCTTTCTCTGCAATTTGATGAGTTCGTTTTTACGACAACCACTTTACTCCATTCTATTGTGTGGGGTTGTATGTGTGTTGTGTGATTGCATGCATTGAAGTGGTTAAGCTATTCTCTAGGGTTTTTTCCCCTTATAGGGTTTACTATTCTAGATTTGAGCAGATTACTTGATAAACTAAATTACCTTGTCTAATAAACTCTGTAGGATCCTTTATTAGAGTTTGTAAGTTTTAATACCACGTTTATCCATGGTCTATTATGCAGACCAAAGGATGCAACAAGCAGAGAAGACAAACCGAATATCATTTACAAAATCAACTGCAATAACTGTAATCAGCACTACATTGGACAAAGCGGCCGCCCTCTTTGCCTTCACCTACATGAGCAACAGTTGGCTATTAAACACCACGACATTTCGTCACTCATTTTAATGCACGTGGATAACAACTATGGTAATGGATTCAATTTCGACAGTACAGAAATTTTAGACAGAGGAAACACAAAAGATATCAGAGAATTCCTAGAAGCTTGGCATTCAGGTCAGTCAGCAATCAATAGATGTATAGACATAGACCCGATCTGTCAACCAATAAGAAAAATGATAAACGACAGAAAGGTCAGAGGTCAAGTAGAGGAACAGCCAACAGGAAAGTCTGTACAATTAGTGACACAACAATCGAAGGAAACAACCAATCACAGACCACATCGTCAGAGCAAGCTAGTAAATCGCTGACGGAGAGATATTGACGGCTCACTTTATAGTGAAGTTAATGCTTATGATGTCGTCTAGCAAGACAATGAAATCTTCACGATTAAACGACCCAGCTCAGAGAACACAACAGAACCAAGACCATCCACCTGAGCTACAATTATTCTCCATTACATTCATATTTCTTGTTTCAGTAGCCATTGAGAGTCAATTACCCTGTTATCTACTGAACTTAATTTCAAAATCAGTCAGATTATGATGTTGTATTAGTTATCGAATGAAAAATGTTCACTTTACACAAGAGGCTTTGAAGTTCATTCTAAAACTATTGGATAGGTAATCATGCTGATCATCTCAAATTGATTTTCTATGTATATTGGAATATCTGGTAATAATCCTTCTGTAGGTTCACTGACGGAAGCCTTATTACGACTTTTATTTCCTCTAAATCATCAAATTAGTTCGTCTTCCCGAAATTAGTCGAGCGGCAACGACTTCATTAAATCATTCAATAGGTAGTAGTCAGCGGGGGGCGGGGGTGTAATTAAAGGGCAGGGTCATTCTCAATCGGAAACCGACCAGTGTAAACTATTCTTATAAATCCAGTCGACTATATATTTTCAGTATTTTATTTTCAGTACGACTTATCCACTTACATTATTATTATTATTATTATTATTTTTCCCTTCATGTTTTCCTTTTTTTTCCCCATTTACAGTCTGAAGATATCAAGCCTTCCCGTTTGGCAATTGATCTTCCCTCCAAAAAAATGATTCAGTTTTTACATAAACATTATCATTTGATCAATCCAATTCATTTAGCAAATAATTTTGTTATTTATCCAGGATTTTTTGATAACATTTTGTATGAATCAGTTAATACCGAGAAACAGTCCACAATACAATCGAAATTATCTCCAGTCGAAATTCAGGATCTAAAAAAGAATGTAGTCAATAAAAATAAAATGGATCCTACTTTAAATACTCTTTATAACAAAACAAATAGTCATGACAACGGTCCAGTGTATAACAAACAAACCATATCAAGTGGTAAAATCAATCATGATAGTTTCATCACCAATATAAAACCGAATAGCCGACAAATGCATCAACTACATACAAGAATACCTGAAATGCCAACGAATTTGATGATTATAAGACCGCATGATTCAAGTGGAAGGGTTTGGGATGTACCCATAAAAACCAATGAACAGAATGAATTGAATCAACAGAAAGCTGAGATGAAAGGTGCTGTTCAAGATAACTATGAGGAAGTCAAGAAATGTGAAGTGTTCACTATTGTGAATAGGTGAGTATATGTTGAATATAACTTGGCTGATACTCCATTTTAAAAAGAAAATTTCACAGTGTGACGGTCCAATTTATCAGACTTTATCACAGCAGAGATAGGAGATTTTAAAAAATGCATAGACATTGAAATTGGCGTGACGTATGTGGGGATATTAACAACCCACGAGTAAAAATGCATAACATGTTCAGAATGTTGAAGAAATCGAAGAGTGAATTAGCCAAAACCCTATGGGGACCTGTCTGCAGCAGTATCACCAAGGGTCTTTATTTATTTTCCTCATTTCAACAACCAGGAAGCCTACACTTTCCTATGCGTATCGAAGGTCGAGTACACTATGTACCAGTTCATGGTGACTGATGAAAACGGTCAAATAGGTAAAATCCCCATTCACCTCAAAATACACTACTATATAGTGCTCATTAGTGGCATACTTACTTCCAGATGGATATCACGAAGTTCTAATGAGAATCCGTGACCTGTGGCGTCAACCAGTCAGAAGGGAAGCGAATACCTACTGAAGATCTTGGGTGATAATCGCACTATATCGCGAATTGACTGAAGTTGGAAACCGTGGATGACTGGACTCCGACCCAATGGCTGAATAGCTAACGCATGCGCCGTGAAACCTGAAGATCCTGGGTTTAGATCTGTAGTCGGGTCGTGGGTGCGTACTTCTAAGTAGTCCCATACTAGCTATTCACTGCTACCAGGTTTCCAGTGGTTCTTTAATTGATGAATACTATCTCAAAATAAGTAAATAATTAAACAGCCTAACACAATAACGTTTCAGTTCAAAATATTGGCTTCCCTTCAGTGAAGTGAGGAGAGCTAACAAAAACAATACGAATGATGATAGGGGAGCTGGAAGAAAGATAAGTCTAGGTCTAGGGATTAGAATCAACTTGCTTACTTGTATTATGTGAAAGTTTATTTCTAGCAACAATATAGGTCACTCACCAGCGTTTTTTATGTTCTAAGGGTATCAATGATCCGAAACTTGCATCTACTTCATTTCGTGTATAATGTGTATTAGAAGAGAGCATGGATGCATGGTGTAAATAAGTCACCAGATTAGCTAATGTGTATCACTTTAGTAGCAAAGATAATCCAAGTGAGCATATGCCAACAGTTTATTGTTATCTCACTAACTGTTTATTTATTATTATGAACTGTTGCTACTGGCAACGGATAATTCTTATACCTTTTTATATGAAATTAGTCAAAACTACTCTCCATTTTAGGAAGTTGTAGGAAGGATTTAGTTATTTATCATGTGATGCACTAAAATAACACTTAACTGTTTTGGTGTAGTATTATTTATGACCTTGAACCAAATGTTCAGTGATCAATGCACTTGTTTTATAACCTTGTATTGATACAAAAATTCAGTTCTGCTGTTGTTAAGGGTTTTCAGAAAGCTTTGCTTTGTAATAGGCGTGATGTAGTGAGTATATCAATGTTTTTATGAAGTTATTGCTGAGCATGAACCTCGCCTGGTTAACTAATTCACTAGTTACTGTCCGGTCCTAAGCCCCGGGTAAAGAGCGAAGGTTGGGCATACGGCTAGCAACCCTACCCAAGAAAACCAATCCAATCGCTAAACAAACTTCAAAGCACAAAAGAAATATAAAACATAAAATCAAACTTATTCCTCTGTGGAATCGGAGAGACGAAATGACGCCGGTTGGTAAAAGCCTTCGGGAAACCAGTCGGCCGATGTGTCTTCTCTCGATGGAAGCGAAAGTAAGGATAGGGACATGGAATGTCCGCACCATGTATGAATCTACCGAGGCTGTCCAGATTGCGAAAGAGATGAGGAGGTATGGCATGAAAGTGCTTGGAATCTGCGAAAGCTGGTGGAATGGAAGTGGATTCTCCAAACTCTTAACTGGAGAGTCCATAATCTACTCCGGTCACCCAGACATTAACCACAAGCACACGGAGCGGACTGGGGACATCACATGCTAGGCTCTCGAGTGGAATCCAAAGGTTAAACGACGAGGAGGGCGTCCGAGGGTGATATGTAGTAGATCATGTGAGGAAGAAACGAAAGCTTGCAAACAGTCGTGGCGCCAGGTTGAAAAGACTGCAGAGAAGAGAGTGCAATGGAGGCGTGCTAGTGAAGCCCTATGTTGCACTAGGAACCCAAGGGAAAAATAATAATAAATGATAATTGCTGAGCATGTCATGAAGCCTAGTGATGGAACGCACATGACAACATATCACTACATAGGGAATACCAAAGCATCATTATCTTCATCTTAAGCTAAAAATCTTTGTCACGAAGTATATGTAACAGAATGTTTCCCACTATAAGTAACACAGAAGCATAAGAATTCATCAAGTTAAACAGTAAACAGCACTAATAATGTCTTCGACTGTCTCTTATTATTAAGAACTCTCCTTTCGACACCTTCTTTTGGCTTAGGCACTTGACTATCGAGCAGTGGGTCTTGGTGTAGAATTCTACTTCACCTGCTTTCTTTGGTGCAAGGCCGTCACTCAAGGAGTGTTACTCATAGCCTATCACCTGAATATCTACTAGGTTGGCTCAGGTGTGTTTGAAGCTTTAATATTTTCTTTGACTAGTTTTCTAGACTGAAGAGATCAATCTTTTTAACATGAATGCCTTGATGGTGTTTGTGACCACGTCTTGGTGATCACTAGAAGTGAAATTTAGGACCAACATTAAGACCTGTTACAGATTTATCATTTAAATTTGGCGGAGTTTGTATTGATATCCTCATTCAGAATCTATCCGAAAACCTGTCGATTTGAATGCTAGAATGCGTTATCCATTAGGATATTTAGTTACGACATCCACTTATTTACTGTCTAACAGAGATCAATCTGTTATTGAAATATTTCCCAACGCTGGCGTATTATGCCAGTAAAAAGGTTTTACAAATTATATGAATGAGAATCATTTGGTATTTACATGATTGGGCAAAATAAACTTTACAATGAATTAGCAAGGCATGTGATTTTCTATTAACACACTAAAATTATGCTCATTCAGCTTATGACTTTTATTATGATCAACTGATACCATTGAGTTAGTGTGCATAGGGTGGAATCAAACAGATGACAGAGTGGGAATTGCAGCGTGATTCGATGGTATAATGTGCAAAAATGTTTTGCAAGGCAGTTAATAGTAAGGTAATAAACGCATGTGATAGAGTCATTGACTATCTACTTGGTTCTTGTAAAACTGTTTAGTCTTAAGATATCGATCATTTTGGGAAGTAGGAATTTATGCTAGCCAGTCAGCTTTTTATTTTATATCCCAGTCAAGTTGGATTGGTCTGAGATAGTGATGTGACTGACTGGATAATCATAAACACGTAAAACAATAATAGCGTGATAAGACACTTGGACTGGATAAGAATACGCGACTGTTCTCCCTCAGACCTGATACTTCAATGAGCCGCAAAAATCTCAAGACAAAGACCAACCTATGACCGTAAGAAATATAACCTTATTCGATAAAAAACACATTATTCATGTACAGTTTTCACTCAGAAAATGAAGCCACTAGGTCACAAGCTGGATGTTTATTTTCACTGGTCAGCTGAAGGACAAAAATTTCTGAACAAGGCTTTCCCACCCACACGAAACCAGGGTTGCAGTCCAAAACCACGTTGGCGGCTGATCGACCTTGTATTCTGACCTTAGACTTGAGTTGCTTCTTATCAATCAGCCTCAATGACAGTAAGATATGTTTATCCGTATACTTTTATTACTATGGCACTCGTTTCTAACACTACTTGTCTTATTAGATAACTTAATGTGAATATATATACAGCATCTGTGTAGGCAAGATATCAAATGAATAAAGTATTTACCAAATATATATGAAAATGTACAAGACTCAAGGTGTGTGGGCAGTCTTATCAACATGTTATGAAGAGGAATGGTTGGTTGGCCGTTTATCCCACTCATTTAAAGTGTGATTACTAATCAGTTGGTCACTGTAAAACAGGCTACACTTTAAAGATAACAGAGACTACGTTAGATTCTAAATCAAGTGCTCTCATCCTGACTACCGGACTAGCTTTGTAGTAACTGTGAATGCTTGATATGTAACCGTCAGCTTTTCCGGTATTTGTTAAATTATGTTATCAACCAAGGCTGTAAAAAACAGATTACTTCAAAATACTCATTATTGCATACAAAAAGTTGGTGACTTAACTCAATAATTTGTAATGATGTAAATAACCAAGTGATAAATCTAATGCCACTTGAAGAAAGTGGAACGAAATAGCATTAAAATATGACGGAAAGGGCTGTTCTCCAGTGACCAATTAATGTATCTGGTCCAATCCTAAAGGAGGTCAATCGAAGCCAGAGGAGACACCAGCCCCCTAGATGTTGGAGTTTCATCGGGTTGATGAATGCTAAAAAACACGAAACTTAGGTCAAGCAGGGCTTTCTACCGATTACCTCTGAGGAACCAATTTAACGGTATATTGGAAGTAGATAATTGACTTCAACATTCTGCATTATCTCACTGTCGTGAGGCGACCCATTTCAGCAAATCCCGAATTTAACGGGTGACAAGCAAAGGTCACTGGAGTGATAGCTGTCATAGAGAAGTTAAGAAATCCATGAAACTTTGGGCAGAATCCTAAGGAAGAATTCGACTTGATTTCAATAGTTCTTCTTGAATTCCCTTCCATAACTCCTGAAGCATTTCATGGAGAAATTTGCTAACAACAAAGTACACGATACTGACATCCAGAAACTAACTAAACTAAATGCAGTGAAAGCAAATCTTCATTTCCGAAGATTTTATTAACTGAGTCAACAAGAACTCAGGACTTTGCTATTTTCTCAGATAGGCGAAGAGTACTAAGCAAAAGAGGTATGTCAGTTGATGAGGTTGTGAACCTTCAGAGACTGAGGTGGCTTAGACATATGCTGCGCATGCCGAGCCACCGCTTACCTCGACGTGCAATGCTAGAAGAAATTGGATTAGTTTGGAAGAGGGTTCAAGG